GATACCACATGAAAATCTTGGAAACAAAACACAATAACATACGGAGCTTTCCATGCAAATTAAATGAGTTAAACTCAATCCAGAAATCCTTTTCACCTTTATTTATTTTCCTTTTCACTTTTAATGAATTTTTTACCTCTTAGACTTTTACCACATCGTCGCCAAGATCAAAGGAAATTTGCTTACGGACTTAAAACGAATGAATTTTAACTAAGATCCATTCATTTGAGGCGTTAGTAAGGAAAAACCGGACTTAGAAATCACATCTTGAAAGCATCTGGTTAAACAAGTTAACAACGAAGTAATTGAAAAAAATGAGAGAGGGCAGGACTTGCGAAAAACGTTGCTTTGAGGTTTTTCATTTTGAAATTTGTCCACAGGGTGGTAGTTGGCGTTACTTTCTTTGATATGCGAGGTTTTATGTAATCCTGCAAACAGGTTTTTTCGCGTTAATTAATAAGACCATCCGTTTCAAATGAGGGGATTAAACAAGTTTTAACTTTCAGCCATTCCTTGATTAATTAAATTTGGTGTTTGTCCGTGCCTAGGTGTATATTAAAAAGAAATTAAAATTGGGACAAAAAATATGTTCAGACAATTCATTAAACAAAGATATAAACTACATTAAAAAGAACGGACTATCCACCATCGTCTATTGACAAAATATTAAACGAAATATAAACCCCAAACAATAGGCAAAATACACACAATGATTACAATACACAATATATACAACTTACAATTCCATACATACGAGGCGTTTCGGAAAAAATAAGAAGGATAGGAAAACAATATAACACAACATCTCTCACACAAAATACACTTAGATCCATTTTAACCCATACTAAACCAATGAACAATGGACAACAAACAAAAAATGTAATATACAAAATACCATGTGAATGTGATAAATTTTATATTGGTGAAATATCAGGATCCTTAAATGTTCGAATTAAAGAACATAAAAATTATTTAAGAAAGGGTGATTTTCGCAAATCTAAGATTTGTCAGCATGCATGGGACACAGGGCACAGAGTAGATTTTAACAACGCAAACATTATTATGAAAGAAGCGATACCCTTTAAACGAAAAATAAACGAGGCTTTTTTAATACAGTCTAATAAATATAAATGTATTGCTCAGGTATCTGTAGAATTTAGTAATGTATTAGGTTCTTCTTTGAAGTTTAACTTATAATATAATGCCATTTTAATAGACCGTTTTTATAGACGTATCTATTGAAAATAACTAAAGTTTTCGTGAATAATAATTGTATTTAGATATTTTAAATAGTTTTTTTCTTTGTTTTTTAACAACTTTAACAATAAAGGAAAATAATTTTACGTTTAGTGACTTTGACGATACATTGTACATTGTATCGTAGACAATGATTCGTTATTGAAACTAAAAGAATTTCGGACTTTCAGTGTTTTTATTTATTTTGATTGACACAAGGCTTTAGTCAGCAGGATCACTGGATATCTGGTGGCAGTATAAAAGCTCTTTAGTTTTAGGAATTAGACTATATTTATATATTTACACTTGATAACGGTCAGTGATCCTTCTTGAACGTTGTGTTAAAATAAAAATAAATAATAAAGACAATGAAGTCCGAAATTCTTTTAGTTTTGAAATTTAAATAATTGTATAAAGAAGTGCATATCAGGGAAAGCAGGATTATGAACAAAGACAGCAACATTCATTTTCTATGTATTATTTTTTGTATAGAATTAATGCCATTTTAACAGACCGTTTTTATAGACGTATCTTTTGAAAATAACTAAAGTTTTCTCGAATAATAATTGTATTTAGATATTTTAAATAGTTTTTTTCTTTGTTTTTTGTGTTTTTTTTCTTCCGGCGAATGGAAGAGCTATACTTCCCGAAACGGTAAGCATTTTTTTGTCCGTTAGGCAAATTTGTTTATTTGTAAATCACTGATGCTTGGCAAGGTCTCCGTTGGATAAACACAGCAGTGTTTACAAAAAATAACTATTATATATTATTTTGTAGATTTTCTTAGGGTGCAAGTGGCGAAATATCCATAGGACTTTTTTGAAGAAAAAATAATTGGATTTAATAATTAGTATTATAGATTTAAGAGTCCATATCCTTTAGTAAACTAGCCATTAAACCATAATCGAAAAATTTTTATACCGGAAATAAAGATGACTAGAATAGAAATCTGCATAGAAGGGTAATTTTCTTTTCCAGTCTGTCTTGCATAATTTACCCCATTCTAGTAAAGAAATCGCATTCTCGAACTCACAAATTTCCCTGTAGGTTCGGTTTATAAAATATATGTTCTAAATCAGGCGCTATTAACCGCTCTGTTTATTATTAAGTTCATTAGGAAATTTATTGGCTCTTGGCTAATTTATATTGAAAAATCTCTGTAGAATTCTCTTAAAAATAATTAGAAAATGTTTATATTCGTGCTATTGAGGAGCTGACGTTTTATCGATATTCATCTAATTACTAATTAATGTTTAAATATAAATTCCAAATTAATACAGATAATATTTTTTGCTTTGGTTTTATTTATATCGGAACCTAGCTGGAAGTGTTGAGAAATATTTGTCTTTTAAAAATAAACTTAATTATCATTATTATTGGATATCTCTTTTATTATTTTATCACGAAAAATATTTTCTTTCTTTTCCGAATACTAATTGTCGCCTGTAATTTGATTGTTCTCTGTGATAAAACAGAATAAAAGTTTACCGCAGTGAAAATAAATTTAAATTTACTGACAAAGTTTGGAAACAAACAATAAGATCTAAAATGAAACTATCCTTTATAACTGTTTTGATTCTCCGCGACGTTTTAGGGTTGTATTAAAACATGTTTTCTTCTCAAATATTTTTCATGTCTTTATTAAATTTGTAAAATCCGATAACCAGCTATAAAAACAAATAAAATAAAATACTTAACATTTTTGATGTCTCCTCAATTTGATTTCATATTTCTTATATATTTAAATTTTCCGGATTCATTAAACTCGACACAGTAGATAAAGCGAGCTAATATTTAAATAATAATTGCTCTTATTTACTAACTCAAAGCCGTAGAATAAGAAAATATAGGCTATTGTAGTCTTGCGGGAACAGTAATGGATGTAGGGACCTTTTAAACAATCATCAAAAATAGTTGAGTCAGAAAAAATAATTTCCTCATAAAGCAAGTTACTAAGCCCTCAAAGGTAGTACTTCAAGTATATATTCTGAATCTACATAAAATTTCCTACAAATACCGAAATTTTCATAATTTTATGACTATGTTTACTATCTTTCTAGGGCTTTTGAAAAATAGCCAAAAATGGTATTTTTTTGCCTTTTTTCCATACATATAGTCTTGAAAATTGACTATTTTCATCATGCCACCGATTTTGTTAAAACTGCTGTTATTTACTAATTAAAAGGCGTAGAATAAGAAAATATAAGCCATTGTAGTCTTACGAGAAAGTAATGAATGTAGGAGACGTTTTAACCATAATCAAAAATAGCACAAAACAAGGAAGGGTCCAAAAAATTAATTTTCTCACAAATCCAAGTTATCTCTTTTCCCACAGTCCAAGTTATCTAAGCCTTTAAATGTGTATATATTCTGAATCTACATAACATTTAAGCGACATTTTTACAAAATCTTACTTGTACAGTTCTGGATATATGCAGCATTTTAAAGTCCATGAAAATTTATTCATCATAGTTTCAAAATCAATTTTTTCATAAAATCGCAGCCTTTAATCATTTAAAAGTTTATTTATACGAAATTTGCATAAAATTTCCCACAAATACTAGAATTTTCAAAAAATTTTAGCAATGTTTTCTATTTGTCTTGCATATTTTCGTAAAATTAGTTTTTTGTTTCCTTTTAAAAGTGCTAGAAACTTTTTGTTGTTTTCTCATTTGTTTTATACTTTATATATTTACACTGTTCACTGTTCATATTTTATAAATTCAGAAAACAGAAGGAAAACGAACCAAATTTACATCATAAATTCGACAGGTATAAATGGGGGTGTGGAAAATAAATCCAGGAACTTAATATTAAAATATACAAATAAATATTTTAATCTATTTGATTTCTGATGCCGCAACGTAATTATAAGATACAATGACGCCTTAAAGGCCTAAACTTGCGCCTGGTATATAAGTTATGTATTTGATAAGAATCCTGCACGTGACTTCGAATAATTGTAATGTTCGCGCGGTATTTTCAGGGATTAAAAGTTTTGGGGCAGAGTTGACTAAACCGAGCTAATTTTCAACCGCACCAAACCCTAAACATATTTTGTTAATTTTCTGTGATTTTCTTTTTCTTCGTTTCTTTTTCGTATTTTTCCAGTTAAATACGTACCTTTTGCCCAGGCATTTATAAAACTGTTTGTACAAAACGCATTCTTGTAATACATAATTTTATTTTACATTGACTTGATTATTTTACATGTAAAAATATAACTTTCTACGTAAAAATGTTTTTGAATCAATTTATTTGAGGTTATTACTATCATAAATTATTTTTTTCCTTCTTAAGGACCAGGAATAAAGATGTCCCCCATAAAAAATTAATAAATCCTCGCGAAAGGAGATCTTTATGGCTGAGAGTTAAAAAAAACGAATTTGTAGTCTCCCGAAGTTAAGTAAAAGGATTTAAAGCGAGTTAATTAAAAGATCAGGACCGGGGTAGGCCTCAAAGAGATATTTTGCGGTCCTTGAGGGTTTAAGTAAACGATCCGTTCTGATTTTCACGCTCGCAGCGGTCAGTCGAGGGCTGCCCTAAATGTTTATTGTTATTTGATGCCTGTCGACGGACATGGGCTTCCAATTCGCCCCTTTCGAGAGAAATTTTATAGCCATTTTACCTTTTTTATGTTTTTCTCCATTCGACAGATGTAAGAGTGAATTGTTGAAAGGCTGTAATTCACAATTTAAAGCTTTCTATTTTACTTATAATAAAGTTCCTTAGTTAAAAAAAAATAGAAAAATAAAATTGCTTACCCTAAAGCTGCCAAGATTCTTGACTGAGCAGGCAAATTTGACGTTTCTGCCGGCAGCTACTGTAATGTTCTCAATTACATCGGTGAATTCGGGCTCCTCCACGACGGCTGAAATAATAAGAGAATTACTATACATGCCTTTACTTCAATTTAATGTAGACTGTTGCCACTATATTTATCACCAGAAATAATTTTAGTTATATTGTTCAGTCATTAAGAGCATCCATTATGGGAAGGCAACTTGACGAACAATTATTACAATAGGCCTTAAGATTGTGAGAATACATGTAGCACTAAAACTTCAAATCTCAATCGATTTGAATTTAAAATGCTGATAGGAAAAATATATAACTAGTTTTAATCGTTAATTTTAACTTCAAAATATGTTATTAGTTTTGTAAACGTTTCTACAAACGTTAGATTTGTAGAAGCTCACCGCAAACATGCTCTCCAATCCAAAACAAAAGGCTAAAAGGGCACTTTATCTGATATGCTGATATCGACTTATTGATCCTAGTCTTTCCGTTGGAAGAGCAGTGCGGGAAATCTTATTCTTAAAACACCACATATTTATTATGTACTCTGAAAAATATGCAAACAATAAAGGAAAATAATTTTACGTTTAGTGACTTTGACGATACATTGTACATTGTATCGTAGACAATGATTCGTTATTGAAACTAAAAGAATTTCGGACTTTCAGTGTTTTTATTTATTTTGATTGACACAACGCTTTGGTCAGCAGGATCACTGGATATCTGGTGGCAGTATAAAAGCTCTTTAGTTTTAGGAATTAGACTATATTTATATATTTACACTTGATAACGGTCAGTGATCCTTCTTGAACGTTGTGTTAAAATAAAAATAAATAATAAAGACATTGAACCGAAATTCTTTTAGTTTTGAAATTTAAATAATTGTATAAAGAAGTGCATATCAGGGAAAGCAGGATTATGAACAAAGGCAGCAACATTATTATTAGTATTATTTTTTGTATAGAATTAGGAAATTTATGATATACATAAGAGAATATAAAACAAATATTAAAAAGTTTTTTTGGAAAAGTGAATCTCAGTCTAAAACCGCTTAAAGTCCTCGTATTGCGAATAACGACAGCACTGATATCTTTGGAGATTCGGACTGATCGAGCGAATTACCCAAGTCGCATCTATCTTATCCAAAATGTATAAATTCAAAGGTCGATGGTGTTCTTCAGCTGAATAATTAAAATATCCCGTCAGTTTGTGCAAATTGTTAATATAGAATACAATGACAGCAATAGAGTATGCGCATAATTTAATGAGTTCGTTTGCATAAAGAGGACTTTATACTTTTTCTAACTTTGTGAAATATTTTCTTTTTTTTACAATACAGCAACATTTCTGAGTATGTTCCATTTACAAAAAAAAAATAATAGCTATTATGAGGTGATTTAACGAAAAAAGGCGTAAAGACATAATGGTCTGCCTGCCTTTTTGCCTCTAAGTAAAGATTTAAGGGTCAAGGATATTCTACCGACATTTTCTTACATTAACGTTTCTTATTCGTAATCATCACGCTTAGCTTTTTGTTTGGTAGAGGGCCCACAATGTTCGGATCAAAGGAAAAGAAGAATTTCATTTGAAAGTACGGAGGGTTTTACCCCCTCTATACCTGAACTTTATTTTTATTTAATTCGGTTTCACCAATTAAGTTTATTTCGTTCAAAATGTTAAAATGCCAAGACGTTTTATTAAAATTCTTTACCTTTTAGCAATGAGAGATGGAAACGTAGGCATACAGGATATTAGCTTTTATATCATTTTTGTCTTTGTTTTATCTTAGCTCATCTCAATATCCATCGCAGTGAAAACAATATTATACATAAATTATTTTTAGTCTTACCGCATAGTATAATATTTAAAAAGTTTGAAGTAATACCTCTAATTTGCCTATTTTCCATTTCTTTTCGTTATATTTTTCCTTCTTTTGATTAAAGAGAAAATATATTATTTGAGCCCATCAGTCAATTCATTTAATCGTGATATAAGAGGTTATGAGAATTGACGATTTTCGTCATGTCACTGATTTAGTTAAAATTGCTGTTATTTGCCAACTAAATGGTGTAGAATAAGACAATAAAGGACATTGTAGTCTTACGAGAACAGTAATGAACATAGGGGACGTTTTAACCTTCATCAAAAATAGCTAAAAAAACAAAAAAATTATTTTCTCATAAAGCCAAGGCATCTAGGCCTTCAAAGTTGTATATATTCTGAATCTACATAACATTTTCTACAAATACCGAAATTTTCATAATTTTTTGATTATGTTTACCATGTTAAATCCTTTGAAAATGTGTAAAAATAGCCAAAATTGGCATTTTTAGATTTTTACTGGTAATTCTGGAGTGTTGTAACTGTTTAAATGACTCTAATTCCAAGTCCTCGGAAAGTAATTTTGCAATTTTTCGAACAGAAGAGCATCATCTATTATGTAAAATGCTAATTGGGATAATGCCTCCATTACATGGCTCGGGTATTCGTAAAGATTCGTTAGCGATATTAGTAAAAATTGTAAAAAAGTTGCTGTTGTCGCCGTTCTGTTTTTTCCAGCTCTTCGAACGCCAAACTAATGGGTTATCGAATGAACGAGGAACAATCATGCCCGAAACAATCAGGCCGATAAAATTTTTAGTATCGCCGCTTTGGCCAAAGCATATTTAAAAATATCATGGCAAAGTCAAAATACGGAGAGGTTTTTATTAAATCCGTCCGAATTACAGCGAACGGCGGATGGTTCGATTTTAATTTCCCTTGCAAATTTAACATTGTTGAACAGTGTTGCGTGGCAAATAATTAGATCCAAATCAAATTTCGGAATATTAGAGATTAGTCCTATTAGAACAAAGCTCGGCGATTGTTTCGTACGAATTATCATCACCTATAGACATCTGTTTCGTATCACTTATGTCGTATTGTCCAAAATTATTACGCGATTTCCTCCATGCATATTGTTAATGTCTCCCTCAATTCAGTTAAATGGTCCTCCCATAAATTTACGATGCATCTACTGTTTAGATTAATTACACAGCACTCTGTTTTTCATCAAACTTTCTATTATAATTTAAAAAAGCACTAAAATCTACGAAATAATTACTAGATATGAAATTGTGGTGTTATGTCTTTAATATTGATATAAAATAGTAATAGAAGACCTAGAGAAACGAGGTATTGACATGCCTTATATTGAAACTCTCGCCAATATAATATACAAAGAAGCCAAAGCAAGAGTGATGGTATATAAAACAATCCCAGAGTTCCCAACTGAAAAGGAGTACGACAGGTAGACGTGATATCCCCAACCGTCACTTGGACTGGTCCAACAAGGGATTGAAAAAAGATGGAGAATATCTTGACTATCTGGGATTCGCTGATGACATATTCCTAATTGCCGATGTCCTGAAGGATTACAAGCGCAAATTAACGAACTAAATACAGCCAGCAATCACAAGTAGGTCACAAAATGAATTTAGCAAAAACTAAAGTAATGTGCAACGAACTGGTAGATAGAAAAGACATTCTAATAAATAACATAAAAAACACTGGAAATAGTAATCAATGTAAAATAGGAATTAAAAGACCTAGAAGAAGACCGAACCTGAGATGGGACCATGATATTAGGAAATTAGCAAGGATAACTTGGGTCCGCATAGCCAACAATAGACAACAATGGGCCCAAGTATAAAGACAGTATCTGAATATGTGAGGGAGGCTACTCCATAATTATAGAAAAGGTTGAATAAGCTGAAAATGACGATGTCTGTTATATTGATCTAAAATTAAAATTGCTTCTCAAAGTTTTAAATCAAAACTGCATTCAATAAAAGTAAATTCGAAGTGCTCTTTATGAATATACGTTTTAAATAAGCTGTGAAACGAAGTGTTTTTTCTTTTGCGTATCAGCCGGAGAAATAAAGTTATTTAATCGAAGTGTTTTTTAAATTGGTAGAAAATTGTAAAGCTCCGGGCCAATTTTATTAAATAGTCGTTCAGGGTAGGAAGAACTGTTCAATATTTCTTTATTTTTGAAATAAAACAATGGTTTATTTATTTCAGTCAAATAGATTCAGAATTATTAAATATAAAAATAAAAATTATTATAAATATATGTTGGAAGTATTTAGTTGGAAAGTAGAAGGGCCAATTATTTCTGTATTATATATCCTATTATAATATATATTATAAAATTATATATCTTATTAATTTTTAAATATATTTTGATAAAAAATCTATACTAATAGAAATCAATAGAATAATTAAGTTAGCATTCACTGTCTTGGCAAGAAGGACTGACAACAGATGGACCATAAAAATTACAGCATGGTATCTACGAGGAACTAAAACATCTAGAAGAACACCAAACCTAAGATGGGTCCATGATATTAGGAAGTTAGCAAAGATAACTTGGACCCGCATAGACAACAATGGACCCAATTACAAAGAGATATGTAAGGGAATCTACACCATAATTGGAAATGGTTGAATGAACTAAAATATTTTTTTTTCAAGGAATCAATTTTCAAGGTTATTTTCTTTAACATCCTGTATATTGTAACGATCGATCTAAAATATAGTGTGGAAACTAGAGAGTTCTTTGTGGTCGCCGTCTGAATAAATAAGCAAGGAACTGGCATGGACTGATTTTAAGTTAAATTTTCTTCCTTCGGGGACTACGTTCTGGGTAACTTAGTTTGCGGTCAGCAATCCTTACCGATACTAATCAAGCCCGGGATCGGGTTTAAACCGTGTGCATTCAAGGCTGGATACGTGTAAAATGCGAAGGAGATCGAAACTAATTCGATAAGATTTCAATCTAGTTGTCTGTGTACATATTGAGTTTGTATTTGTTTGCAGGCCCAATTATCTGAACTATAAATTATTTGCTCGTTATTTATGACGTCCACGTTTCAAATTTTGAGACTAATTACGCTGGTCCAGCGTAAGTATTAATTTACCAGAGATACGGCATGGTCGTACATTACTATTTTTCAAATTGCTCACGGACATTCGCGACATTGATTTCGTCAATCCAGTTGGATTGTAATAAATTTTCTTTTCTCAGTTTCC